GAGAACTCAACACACGTAGCAATTCTTCTAATAATACCCTTAAACCATGATAAAAGGCGATTCTGATCCGTTTCTGATCCATTGGGCGCGTTTGAAACATTCATGTACAAGTAACACATTCTTGCAAAGCGCGACGCGGTTCGTGTAGCCCCGTCTAACCTTAGCTTTTGAGTTCACTCATGTATCTTGTTCAATGAATTTCCTCTATGCAGTGTTCCCAAATAAAACTTACCGAAAGGCATGCAGGTGATGGTCTGACCATGCAGTTACGTCCCGGAAAACATCAGTTATTGGTGACAAATGTTCAAGTGCGACCGATGAAGTCCACGACTAAGAGCCCCTGATCATAACATTCTATGTTCGAAACGACAGCTCACTTGAGCTGACGTAGGTGATGAGCTAACATTGCGTGGTGAGGTGCACAGTGTTTCTTTGAACTTGGCGGCGTACTTATCACAGGTGATTAATGGTGAAATATTCTATGCTAGCATTAAATGATAATAGCATACACACGCATTTACACACCTATGGATGCAAATTGTTAACAGTTATCTATTAGTAAGTGTCGATTCTCCATGCCGGCGTTGTTATTAATCAAAGCGAATAGGCCTGCCCGCATCGAGGTTTGCGTCACCCTAGCCAAATATGTTAAGCGAGAGCTACATAACGAAGGACATCAGCTTTACATCTTTGAGTCATCCGTACGTGGCTTTCGTATTGGAACTCAAGTCAGTGGGTAATGCTGCAGGTGTTCTTTTTTTTTTCGGCGAGCAATTAATTGGCCAAAGGGCAGCTCAGCGTAAGTCGAAGATTATAGGGTGTGGAGCAAAGCGTACAACAGAGTGCAAATTTAAGTAAAAAATCGCCACGACAGAGGCAACATGATGTCTCGGTTAAGTTAAAATACAAGCCTGCGACTTTTGTCTGACCAGTATATGCTAGCGAGTCATACGTTATGAACGGCGATTTGGCCTTCGACAACGTCCACCATGAATCGGACGGGCGTAACGAGTCCGGAAAAAGGGGGAGAGTTGGGTGGGAGTCATGCGGCGAAGCACAGACACATTGCAAGCTTTTTTTTTTCTTTGGCACACATCACACCGAGACAAGCTTTTAGGGATCTTGCACGTGATGGGTCACAAGACGGCCAGCCACAGCTGTCACCGTATGTATGTCTGTGTTTGTCCGTGTTCGTGTTTCAGTGGCGCATTTGGAAAACCATATCCGTTGTAACAACGTCGTAGCAGAAATAGTCGAGCAGTAACGCCTTCGACATCTGTCTTGCCGCACGACTTACTGGGACACACAATCAGTGTTTCGAACTACTCCGAACCGCAAGTGATGATACCTGTGAGAACTAAACGCAGCGTGTCCGGTGCTTCTTTCATTTTCCCTAAAACGGCAGAGCCAGCTAGCAAGTCCGTAGTGAAAAATTTCGGAATGAAGTGTGAAAAATTGCAGGTTTTCCAAGCTTTATTTTGTAAAACAATGCGTGACTTTTCACAATGCTGAAATACTTGTCCAATGATGGTTCGAAAGTTGTACCGAAATCATATTGTGAGACTGTATAATGAAATATCTCAGTAGGGAGGGGAAAAGAGTTTCGAATGCTGGCGTGCCGACAAGTGTTTGGGTAAGAAGCAGTAAATTCTGTATGTCTGACATATGCAAGCAGGTTAGGTGGCTAAGTTCCCGCGTTTACCGATAATTGACTTATCCCAACTATAGCCAGGAATAGCGAGACTGTCAACTGCGTGTCGTTTGAGTCATTCGTTTGAACGACCAATGGAAAAAAAAACTTCTATTTAGAAATGCGTACAGTCGCACTTTATGTAAAGGAAACAAAAAGAGACATTTTTTTTTTTGGTTAGCTCGATTAGGTTTCGTTTAGTTTAGGCCCTTTGATCAAGCGACTGGTGATTATACAGCATTACCACACATAAACAAATGTGCAATAATTACGCCAAATAAGTGTGTCAGTGCCATTGAATCGTAGCTGTAAATGAAGCTACGTTAAGTGCACTTGATCAAAGGACACGTTTTAACGACGATAGGAACGTCGTTCAGTTTGTTCTGAGAGGATGAGCCTTTCGTGCCCGCGAAGCTTCGACAACGAATACTTCGAACTTTCTTTTGGAGCACTTACGAATGAGATAGCACATGGGTGCGGAAAAAATAAAAAAGAGAAAAATGAGAAGAGAGAAGCAGGAACAAAACTTTTCGAGGCCTTCGAATAGGACCGCTATCACACGCAGCAGCTCCGACTGCATGTCGCACACACAACCGTTCTGACACGCACTAGCGTATACTATAGTATGAATGAAGGCATGAACACAATGCATTCTTTGCGGAAAAATCTGTCTTAATCTAGAGTGCAAGAAAGACTGAGCACGACAACTAAGTACTATATTGCCCTGCGGCGTCAGATCTATAGGAAACGGCAGATAACAGCCGCATCAACGAATTTTTTTTTAAAGTGATGTTTGGAAGAAAGTTAGGAAAGCTGTTTGAGTAGTTGCGAAACCTGATGCTCTATTTAGGGCACAGCCCAAAGTTTTACAAATAGACAAAAAAAAAACACAAGACCAGGTTGCCTAACATGGTACAGGCAAACCTTTTGCCAACTATTTGTTGCTCTACAATCGACGCAGAATCCGTGGAATCTGTAAACAAGCTCATTTCTCTAAAATGGTTTAAATGCTATTCGTTATCTTAGCATTACTTCACGCCTGCAACTGCAAAGTAGGCAATGAAGAAAGAAACGGTGCCCTAAGCTTATAGGCTTACTTCGCAACAGTCACACACTTCCGGAACATCTGAAACTGTGCGAAATTCTCTAATATCTTGGGCACTGGAGAAGGAAGGACTAAGTGAACTCATAATTGCGAAAGAGCGAGAAAATGCAGCCTGTTGCAATGGTATAGGAGAACGCAGCTGCGCATTTGCTACAGCAGCCAATCCGAGCATGCTTGGAAGAAGGTGTGAAGGAACTAATCCCAAGTGTGCCTGTGCGCCCGGCAGCCAAGAGCGAAGAAGGCGTCGCATTGCCTAAGCTAACGTGACCATACAAGGCGTTTTGTAGTGCATTGCCTCGTTCGCTAGCACGTTGATTGTATCAACCAATGCTTAACAAAAAATGAGAATTATTAGTCCCAGAACTTATCTTTAGGTGCGCGTGGAGATTGGCATTACAAGTTTTTACGAAAAGCCTATTTTGTCGCAGAAAAGCTGACAACTTCAGATCCACTTACACTTTCCCGAATCGGGATACTAGGGAGTTTTTGAATTGGGGTACCAAAATTCCTTTGCGTAGGGACGCTTTGGGTCAAGCAGGGGCGCTGGGTTTTCGAATGGGGTCTGCGGCAGTTTGGACACTTCCCGTATTTTGTGTCGCCCTATAGTCTTGGCCGAGAGCCGTCCCTTCAGTGGATGCCGTCACGTTTGTCTGACGCAAAGCATTAAGGCATGCTTTGGAACTCCCGCTAAACTCGAGAAATAGCGTCGCCAACCCAAAACCCAAACGCGGTTTGGGTTTTGCGCATGCGCATTGGCCTTGACGCTATTTATTTCGGGCCCCTATTCGAAATATCCCTGCTGATTCGTAAGCGCTAAAAGGGGTTCTCAACTAGTTTTTTTATAGTCAGCAGGAAGTTCACAAGGATTTGCAAGATGCTGATATATGGACTTATAACGTGCTGAAATTTGGGCGTAGACTTGTTGATGCTCGAAGTTAGCGCTCATCTGACATTCTTGTTCTTTCTTGTGCCATTGTTTTGCTGTGATCCTCGTTAAATTCAATGAAAGCCTCCATGAAACACATTCGCATGCATTGGTACAAAACCCGTTAAGGCTTTTTTTTTTCTTTTGGGCGTTAACATGACAGTAATTGGAAGCTTAGTGTACGAGGGTCACACACTTTTCACCCGTTCCATAACTTGATGAGCGACGAGGTTTCTCCAACACCGCAAAGGCACACCTGGTGTCCGAAAGTCGTGCATTACTGGCCGAGCGAGCTCCCGAATGGATTGTGTTAAAGCACAAGTAGAGGGAACGTGGGTTTTCATGCATGAACGACTACAGGGGCACTAGTGCTCACGACAGCATGACATGTGGTAATAACAACGATAAAGAGATGTGAAGAGCTACCAGCATAACAACGTAAGAACGAGGCCACATGCAAACGTGTCGCAGCTTTAACGCAACGTTGTTGCGAACGAGAACATTTGGTGCATGTTCGAACTTCATGGTGCACAGAGCGAATTCTATCTAATGACCACGGGTCGTTGCAACTCGACCCGATGCAAACTGGTCCACGGTGACAGAGCCGCAAAATTGGACCGCTCTATCAGCTAAGCCGCTTATATTGAAGCCGCTTTCGCACTGTGGCGTGGTAGACTTGGTAGACATGGTATGGTAGACATGGTAGATAGAGGGCCGGGTTGACCAATTTGCATCGCGTTTGCACGCAGTCAACGGGTCAAACGCATCGCGTCACTCTTCCAGACACGCACAAATTTTACGCACGAATCACACACACGAAAGCACAGAACGTGACTAGAGGATAAATTCCGTTGAAAGAAATCACCCTCTCAGAAGCTGCTATTTAGCGTTTTGGGTTAGGAAAACTGCTCGTTTCGTTAAATAAGAACAGACAGAGATTCGAAACCGTGAACACGTTCAGTGAACGCTTAGTCAGACGCTGCACGAGTGCGACCAGAGTGATTAGACGACAATTCTTCGTGCACCCCTTTAAGCGCGTTATCGAGGTCGTTCGGAATCCGAACGTAGCTTTAAAATAAGTCCAAGTGGGCTGGTGTTCGTCCTTATCAGCGCAGGTCATTCATCCTCCAACGTCCTTTATCCTCTAAAGCTTTTGAAGAATGGCTCATATAGGATTTATTGCAGGCTGGCACTATTTGTCACGATAGCCATGCTGCTTTCTTTTTTTTATAATCATTCACCTGCGCGATGTATTTGAATAATCAAACAAAATAACTTACCAATGTTAACCAGATATTTGTAATAATTAGCTGATTCTTTTCGTCCTACAAGAGAAGAGAGAAACCAGAACAAGAAGTGCCACAATCAGAAGAAAAATAGTTTCTGGTTTTACGATAAAAATTATGATAAATTTGTATAACATGACTTATAACACGACTGTGAGTACTTGAATCGATGCAACGATATTTCTTCTACCTCACTTTTTTTACTGATAATCACGATTTTCAAGTCAACACTAAAGCGGATCTGCCCACTGAAAACGTGGTCTTTTACTGATATTGTTCGAGCAGATTATTTTAAGCGCGTACAGTAAAAAAAAAAAATGTACGATTGCCGTTTTATAACGCTCATTAATGAAGCGAGCAGTTGGCACTTCACACGGAAGGATTAGAGAGCGTTTTAGAGTCTATATACTAAATCGCACATGCACATAATTCGCGGACGCTTGCAGAGACACGCATGCATCTCTCAAATGTCTCAAACTACTTAAAAAAAATGGCTGTCTGCGAAAATACGTTTACGCGGTTTACCCGAAGAGGAGTGAAAGAGTTCCAGAAGAGAATCCAGTGAAAGATCGAGCAGTGTTAGAACAATTTTCAAATTTCTCTAACTACATTTTGCATCCTTCTTGCTAATGTGTACCCCTGCTTATGTTCTCAACTGTTTCTGTCACTGCTCCTAAGCTTATTTATAAGTGGGTGGACATAATTTAGGTAGAGTTAATCTGCATATTGTACTTTCAATCCAGATGGAGCATACATCTAAATATTCTCAGTAAAAAGCAATAAGAGACAATATTTTCGGAGTATATTTAAAAACAATATTCACATCTTAGTACACGCAAGTGTTAACCATAACACTTTTTTTTCGTTATGCAGCCATTTAGGCTTCTCAAAATCACAGATTCAAGATTCATTGACAAGTAAGCAGTTTGATTTAATACACTGCGGCTCTTTAACAGAGTGTGTAAAATAGCGTTCTAATTCGTGAAAATAAAATGTGGGTCTAATAAGTAGTATCTCATGCTTTGTACCAAGTATGACCACACGTGACCTTATTCATCGCCCACTGTAAATTTGGGCTTTTTTTTACGCGTAATCGGTGATTTAATCAATAAGGAATATGCTCGAGAAGTCTTCATACTATTCGAAGCATAGTGACGTTTTAAAAAAAATATCACAATATTCGATTGGTACACAAAATTTTCGAATTGATCCGCACGCGTAAAGAGAACACAAACGCCGAAGCTCTTCTCACCACCCCAACTTCGAATACGGTTTGCCACCTCACAAGAGAAGCCATATGCAGTGCGAAGTTGCACATTTGGAGAGACCATGGCGAAAGAGCTCCAACGGCGAGACAACGAAATGATACACAGAATAAGACGCGTTGCCCCACCATGGTTCCTCGCACCTGTGTAAGCGGTTTGTCCTCTATGTCTTTTCGTTCCCTTCACCATACGAGCTGTTTCAAGATTATGAACCAACTAGCTTAGCTAAGAACGCTTGCACAGCTGGGGAGGGGTTGAGCGATTTTTTAGCACACTGCTGTAGACGTCACGCAGAACGAGACGATAATTAGGCAATGACTCGTGCGAGATCTGCTTCGTCTCTTACTTGGCATTTGACTCGCTGGATTAACTGGTTAAACATTTAAGATTCGAGGTACTTTTTTCAGACTGCGGAAGCTTGAAGAGACGATGAACTCATGAAGAAGAAGCCGACGAGATTTATCCGTCCACGTAGTCCTAATCGTCACTTTCCTCTGCCGTACACGCATTTTGAAATTAGCAGTTGTCCAAGGGATAAGCCACTGTCGCTTGGGCGTTGCCGAATGATAGAGCTTGTCAACGAGCGGCGACTACTTCGCTCTCTTTATTTAGTATTTATTTAATTAGCCCGCCGACTACAGACTCAAAACGAGTAGACTCATGACTTCGCTTTGGTAGCCCTGAACGTTGTCATGAACTTTCGTGAATGAGTCCATTTTCGCGAGATTTCGCGTGATTTTCACCGAGCATGCCGATGTTAAGGAACAACCCGTTTACAGGCAATGTGCCAATGTGCCTACGCACGCTGATGATACATCATATTTTACACGTGGATTATGCCGCGGAATAATCATCGCAAGTGATGGTCTTAGAACAGGACCTTTGCAGAAATCAAACATACTATAATCATGTACGACCCTGAGAAGTCAGAAGAGGCCCCACAAGCCGATCGCCCCTGAGATAAAAAAAAAGTTCATGTTTATCCAAAGGCATATATATATATATATATATGTTTTTGGATACGTTTGCCTTTGGATACGTTTGCCCTAATTCGCGACGTGACATTAAAACTAAGCGGTCATCGCGGAATCACTGATCACGTTATGAAACTGCGGATATGATTCGGTGGTTTATACAGTGTGTGCGTGTTCATGTGCGTTGTTTTGTGCGTCGTATCGTGTGTCGCGCGCGTGTGGCAGGTTTGAGCTGTGATGGCGGCGTCTGCATACACGGAGAAGACATATACATGTGAGGAAGAGCGCAAGGCACACGGTAAAACGCACGTCACAAGACTCGACCTGTTTCCACAACGCTTCACACCACCAGCACGCAACACGGAACGGGGAAAGGGGGAAGTCAGTTTCTGTGTTGCGGAAGTTCTTACTTACCAGATTTAACCACACGTTTGTCGTTATTATTTGATTCTTTTCGTCCTACGGTGCAGCAAGAAGAGAAAGACAGAGAGGAAAGGAAGAAAAAGACAACGCGTTGCTGTGACGCTTCACCTCCGTATTCCCGGCTTACCGTGTACGTACAGGCAACCTGTGGCACTGAGATGGCGCTGCGGACATTCGGTGTGTTTCACCAATGTCGCTGACATGAACAACTAGAGTTTTAGAAGAAACTTATCGACACTTACAAGCAAAATGACAGGCTTGTCTGCTATTCACAGTGATTCAGCAAAGTCGTCTTAATTTTCACGCCGGCTACACTACGGCGTTTAAAGAAACACACCGTGAAATAGGCCTGTCTTGTTAGTGATAAGCAGTTAGAAAAGCTTCATGAAAAAAAAATTCGGTATTTAAAATTTCCCTTATTCGCTCACTCGACTGTGTTTTTGCGCGGCTACTAGCGGTAGATATCTTTCACTTGAGAGGCAGACGCCTATAGAGCATGCAAGTTAACGACAATGCAAGAACCCCTCACAGTATCCCCTTCGCAATAAAACTTTACGTCCATATTTTCGAACTTGCACGTTCTATACCAACACTCACGTTGAATATTCGCAATCGTTACAAAACTAACCGGCGGATAAAAGGTGCACGGTAAGTGTTGTGCAGGTGAAAATTATTACTCGATAGATGGGCAAACAAAAAGACAGAAGGAATAATGCAACTGGATGCATGTCTTTTGAAACCAGAAACGCCGGTTTCAATTATTGCGACCACAAAGCGCTAAAGGAGGGTGCATAAATAACGAGATCAACGCTATTAACGAAGCAGAATTCAACTATATGTAACGACGTAAAGAAGAGAAAAAAAAATATAAGTCCATTCATTTCCGAAGGACTCAGAGAAAATTTAATGATTAACAAAAAACAAGCTTGAAATCAAAACAAGCAAAATGAAGCACATAAAGGTGGCAGAAACTCCTGTGTGCACAGTTACCATTTTTTTTTATTTAGATATCTTGGAATCTTTTTTTTTTTAAATAGTCAAACAAGAGCGCTTGAAAGACACAGGAAATTTGAGCTTGTAGATGTTTGTAGGCATGAATAATATATCATAGCCCAGTAATAGAACAGAAACATCCCCAATAGCGACCACGATGACAATCGAGTAAATAATGACAACGTCCGTGAGTGCAAAGTTTCTTGATAGACACTGTTATCACGTAGTTCTTTACTGGAAAATCTTAACAATATCCTAGAAAGATCACCGGTATCACCAGTAGATTATTGCAAGGCTTCCTCCAATTAGAAACCGAACATTCTAAAATGAAGAAAAAAAGTCACAGCTTCGCCGCAAGGGTGAAGAAATGAATATGACAGCAGGAAATAGGAGTGTTATGCAAGTTCCTTTGGTAAACATGGCAGTTGCAGCGAGCGAAGTGCCTTTCCTGCTCTCTGCAGGTTCAGCACGGGCTTTTCTATAGAGCACGACACAAAGATACGGCGCAAGCAATCACGGTTGACAACGTTCCGCCGGTTGTAAGATGTCTTTTTTTTGCCACGCAGTCCACCTGCAGCTCCTATCTCCTTGCGCCTTTCGTGCGATGAAAGGAAGCCAACTCAACTTTTCCGCTTAGCTTAACCAGCGGTCGCTGGCAGTGCTAGCAGGCTCTGACTGGCACATACGCAGTGCATGGTGATGTTCTCGATTTAGACTTTATACGGAGCATCACGGCGATGGCAATGAGGCAGCGAAAATGAGCATAAAGGGCTCACACATAATTCCATTGCTAACGCAATAAAATATTAAAATCCCCTTCAGCATGAAAACATGACCATAAGTGCAGAGGATATACCGTGCGGAAGTTTGTAGGTCATTGTTGTTGCAAGGTGTTTTTACACGCATGTTTCTACTGGTAGGCTGCGACATCGACAAACAAGACAAGTGTGGTTTGGCCTCCGCAATTAACACAAACAGGCTATTCTGTGACTTGCATTTCGGTTTTAGCAGAAAGTAAGATAACTTTCATCCCACATAGTGAAATTCACTGAGTGTTTTTACAGGCTATGTTTTTTAGTTATGTAAGCACGCTTTCTTGTCATTACTCGATAAAACATTTTTAGCTTGTTCCGCCTTGTTGCATTTGCTTGGGCGACAAAGAAGAGACCAGGATCATACAGTTCTGCAAGTGGGTGAATTTCGGTCAGCAACAAAATGCGCAGGCATGAAATCAATTTTTTTTATTACTTATTAGCCTCTGTGTTGGGAACTGCAAGGACTTGTTTTTGTTTGGTTGCTGTTGTTTTTGTTGATGGTGCCTCTGCACGAATCTCGGTGCCCGCAAAAGCCGAATTCGGGCCAGAATTTTCCCACGGGGAATCGC